TTTGAAATATGGTTTAACTTTATGATCAATATCATCTAGTTGCCTCGTGAGTATCTTAATATAGTTATTCTAGCTGAATGAGTCTTATGTGAGAGCACTCAGTATAGGTAATACCAATAAAGTATATAGATACGTATTTAGTATCATTTAGTAATTTGTAAAATATGAAAAAAGATAACCTTCATGATACCAACATAGTATATAGATTCTATTTTAGTATCAGTTACTAATGAGTTGTATATGGAGAATAGAAAGTTAATGATGCTAACACTGTAAATATATACTTGTTTAGCATCATTGCGACTACTGACTACTGTGTGGAATAGAAATACTATTGATACGAACATAGTATATATATACCTTATTATTATCAGTCAAACAATGAGCACTTTGTGAACAATATAAACCTTGTTTTTTGAATTTGAACATTCCATCAACATTAGTAGCACTATATAACAAATATTTTGTAATGTCTATCTAAATCAATACAAACAGTACTGTTTCAATCCTTCTTTGGAATTCTTTTGCAAGTTCTTCGATTGTGTCCTTTATGTCCACATCATCCACATTTTACTTTTGTTGGAATATAGTATTTTTCAGATCCTCCTTTCCCTCTTTGTTTTCTAGGTCTTCCTGCAGGGATTTTGGCATTGGGTGGGAGCACCTTGCGTGATGATATATTATCTGGAAGTTGGCACATTATTTTGTCAGGTAGAGGATTAACTGGTGCCTCATATGAGAAGTTTCTAGTGTAGTAAGGAGAACAATATGTATATTTGTCAAGGTGAAATTTGCGCACCACTATCATGGCATGTCTACATGAAAATTCATTTATTTGGAACTTTCCACATGTACATGTCTTTACATGTAGTGAAACAGTGTATTTCACTTGACCATCTCTGACGGAATGAACAAAATGAGTAGAAGGTGTTACCTGTATTTATTCCAAAAAACAGAACTTTTTTTAACTCAAAACTGTAACAGTATACAAATACTATTTTGGTATCATTCGGTATTTGCTCATTTTCTCTAATTATTTATGAATGATACCAGAACAATATATCATATACTATTACAGTATCACTCAGTACTGTGCATTTCCTCCTGGATTGTGTTATTTTTTCTGAACAATACCACAACAGCATGCCATACACTATTATAGTATCATTCAGTAATTGCTTATTTTCCATTGGACATGTGTGGACATCATTGAAACTTGTTACTCAAAAGAATTTTGATTTTTGTATGCTTCTTGCCTTAAGAGACCATCGACATGTGTCTTCAACACAAATAACAGTATATCTGCATTCAACAAGTATGTGATTGAATAGTATTGTTTATATTTGTAAAATAAATAATACGTTAAAGACCTCAACAAACTAAGTTGAGGTCATTTCGCGCTGATTACTTTTGAATGATACCACCACAGTATACATATACTATTTTGGTATCATTCAATATTTTGCTCATTTTCTCTGATTATTTATGAATGATACCAAAACAGTATATCATATACTATTATGGTATTACTCGCGGTGAGCGTAGTAGCCCCTTAGCATGCTCATTGTACAAAAATCATAGATATTTTATTGGTTCATAAAAGTAAAGACTAAACTAATCAAAGATATCGAGGACAAAGATACATTGATAAGAATTTTAGCGGATCGATTGTATTACATCAGTTAATTCCTAAAACGAGTGAAAATTAAATGATGAAAAAGGGAGCGAGACGGGGAAGAAAGATATTTACCTTACCGTGCTGAATTTAACTTACTTTATCATATCATATTAAACATTTCTTTCTACTTTTATCATGCTCCATCGAGCATTCTTAAAATTTCTTGTGTTTTTTATACTTTTATTTTGTAATGTTTTACTTTAGTTTTCTCTTTTTAAAAATTTTAAATTAGTATCCATTCAATCACATATTACTATGAAAATCGTCAAGATTCTCTAAAAGTGTGTAAGAATAGAGTTACTAATATTATAATGCATATTCAGAAGATAAATAAATAACATCGTCAATTTTTTTAGTTCATATAGTTCAATTTACTAGGTTAGTCATAATTTGTAAAAAAGACAAATAACGATTAAATCAAATAAGTTTACTTTCCATCCCTCTAAAATAGAATTAAAAATATAAAAGAAATTTCATGAATTCTATAAATTAATATTTTTAAAAGGATGTTGACGATATTTAAGTTTCTTCATTCAATTACATCTAATTTATCTTTTTTTTTTAAATATATATATTTCTATCTCTATTTCAAGTTAAATATAATTCATCATTTTTTAAAAGAGTTGTTCAAGTTAGTATATGAAAAAGAGTTACGTTGAAACAACATGAATAATAGATTTAAAAATAATAAAAAATAAAAATAAAAAGAACGTGTCTAATAAATTTAAACAAGAACAAATTAAAAGAAGAAATGGAATAAAAGGAAAAAATAATGAAAAAGAAGAAAAAGGTCTAAGTCCAAAAGTTTCATTTTCCAAAGCATATTAAAAAGAGGGAAAAAATATGGGATTTGAACCCGTGACCTAGGGGCATATCTTGAACCACTTATCCACTGAGCCAAGCATGTCCTTTGTTTCAGGGGGTTCATTTCAATATATATATATATATATATATATGGAATAAAAGGAAAAAATAATGAAAAAGAAGAAAAAGGTCTAAGTCCAAAAGTTTCATTTTCCAAAGCATATTAAAAAGAGGGAAAAAATATGGGATTTGAACCCGTGACCTAGGGGCATATCTTGAACCACTTATCCACTGAGCCAAGCCTATACTCTATTTTTAGGATGTTCATTTTAATATATATTCCCATAAAATCAGAATTTGACGTAATATATATCGTGTAATTTTTTGACGAGGGGGTTTGGGTGAACCCCCTAGGGTCCACCTAGGTCCGCCCCTGCCTGGACTGTGTTATTATTTCTGAACAACAACATGCCAAATACTATTTTGGTATCATTCAATAATTGCGCATTTTCAACTGATTATTTTTGAATGATACCAGAAGAGTATGCCATATACTATTATGGTATCACTGATTAACTATCCATTTCCTCGTGGACTGTGTTATTAGTTTTGAATGATACCACAATAGCATGACATACACTATTATGGTGTCATTCAGTAATTGCTCATTTTGCACTGATTATTTCTGAATGATACCAGAAGAGTATGACATATACTATTATGGTATCACTTAGTAATTGTCCATTTTCCTCCTGGATTGTGTTATTATTTTCTGAATGATTCCACAACACCATGTCATATACTATTATGGTATCATTCAGTAATTTGTTCAGTAAAATTATTTTTTGAATGATACCAGAACAGTATGTCATACATTATTATCGTATCATTTAGTATTTCTGCAGTTTCCCCTAATCGTTTGATAAATTTACTAAAAACAACATGTCATTTTAAACATTATATATAGGGATTTGTACATATTTTTGCAAGATCTCGGGGTTTTATACTGAAAACCTTCCTGAACTAAATGTCGCCTTACAACTTGAGCTAGAGTGATTTTGTTTTTGTAGATGTGATAAACTTAGATTGATTGTTTTGATATATCTGTGGTTATCTCTGTTGAAGTCATATCCTCAGCAACATCATTAGCAGGAAGATTAATTTCAAAGAATGTATTTTTTTCATAAATTAGTAACTCTGTATTTTGTTGAGATATTTCTGGAGAATCGGTCATTTTTTTCATTGCAGTGTTGTTGTAGGCAATGACCAACGGATAAGAAGTAATATCTGCATTCTTCTTCTTCTTCAAGTCGATGTACATTTTCACTCACATATCGTTCAATATTTTCAATTGCGGAAATCCTTGCGCAATTGAATAGCTGATGTCAATACTTCTAGAAATATTAATTTTGAGATGATTGGAAATTTGTGTGATGAAAGCTTCAAAATTTGTAGGTGTTTCTACAAGCAGTGCATCAATATCAAAGTTGATGTAATTTTACTCTGAATTACAAATTTCGTTATGCTGCAAAAGGATCGGTATTTGCTCCATTGATGGATAGAACGAACTTCAACGTTGATCTGATCTGGAAGAAGAAGAATTGTGTATGAAGGAAGAAGGAGAACTTGGGAAAAAAAGCAGAATCGTGAATGAAAAAATAAAGAGGAGTAGGGAAGAACAAAGAACTGATTGGAAGTTGATCGTTAGGGCTTTTTAAATCAATTATGCAAATTGACTGGAAATGGATATAGAATGTAATTATTTTAGGGTATGAAAGTAATAGGGTATATGATTGTAACTATTTTACTCCTAAGGGCTATTTCCTTAGTTTTCCCTAAATTATCCATATCCTATACTTGATAAAAGATATTATTATAGAATAGCAAAACTTTTCTACCCTAGTTCTCTGGGATTTCGAGGCAAAATTCAATATGAACTTCTCTAGTTCTTTGGGTAGTTATAATTCAATTGTCCCGTAATATATGTTATATTTTACTTTTTGAGAGTCAAATTATTTGAATATTGAACACTATTTCGAGATATATTATTTCATCATAATAATATTAAATAATTACAATTTATAATATTACTATTTACTAGACAAATTCTCGAATATAAATGACTATTCACGTAATTTATTTCAAAATATGATGAAGATTTTTTCCCGAGATATCATTAATGACACTTTTACCACTAATATCAATGAAAAATTATAAGGGAATCATAAATAGATTTAAAATTTTATAATCTAATCAAAATATTTTGTTTAAAAATAACTATCTTGAGGTGATCATACCTAACATTCAGATTATTCAACAACATAAAAGCTATCTTTAGTAATAAAATATTTTATTTTCAAACCTTATCAAGATGATAACAGAAAATATTTATCTTTATTTTGACTAGATCTCAATTTAATACTTTATTAGTATTTTTGATGATGTCTACCATATTAATCATTTCAATTTTAAAAGAAATGAAGACAAACAGTTTTTTTTATTTTTTATTATGTATTATATATTATATAGAGAGAGAGACTCTTTTATTCGGTTTGTCTTCTCCAACTGCCACTGGATTCACGTCAGAAGTAGCTGCAGCATCATCTCTCTGTTTCCATGTAAAACCCTAAATCCTATTTTCCTCTTTGTACATATACTGGGTCTTATATTTTTCATTATTCTTAGTTATTAGAATTGTTTTGTGCTTTTCCTTTTTGTCTTATTTATATATTTTAGTTTTTCTTGTTTGAGTTTCCTAATTTCTGTTTATTCTGGTTCTTTTTTTAACCCCATGATTAATTAATTTTCCGGTTCGCAATCAATTCCTGTTAGAAGAGAAGAGCTAAACGTGGGAAGGAAGTATTCAAGTGTAGGAATTGGGTGGTTCTGAAATTTTGGATATTTGGAATATGATTAAGATATTAAGCAATGGAAAAAATAGGAGAAGTTATTTAAGAGCTATTTTATTTTGGTGGAAGCTGGAAAGGGTAGATTATATGGAGAAAACTTAAAAAGATTGAATTTTTATGGGTTCTTTTTCTCTTTTTCTAGCAATTCGTGTTTCTGTTTATTTTGGTCTTTTTTTTTAACCTCGAAAACCCCATAATTAATACACTTCCCTGTTCGCACTTTTTTTTGGGTCAATTCCTGTTAGAAGGGAAGAGCTAAACGTGGGAATTGGGTGGCTCTGAGATTTTGGATATCCGGAATATGATTAAGATATTAAGCAATGAAAAAAATAGGAGAAGTTGTTTAAGAGCTATTATATGGAGAAAACTTAGAAAGATTGAATTTTTATGGGTTCTTTTTTCACTTTTTCTAGCAATATGTGAACTATCCCATCTCCTTTGACATTATCTAAATGAGGATGAATTGTAGAACATTTAATGTTCAAATTTAAACTTGGATTTGATTTAAATATTATGTTATCTACACTATCTTATTATACCATATTTGAATATTCTCATATCTACACTATTTAATTATGTACCATAATTAACGAACTCCATATCCAGTTGAATGATGTCACTTTAAACGGATAACTAGTATATGGTTAGTGGAATATTGTGAAACATTTTGTGATGGTTAAAATAGAAAGAATGTCAATAATTTGCTTATAAACAATAGTTTATTATCATAGAGGATTCAAACTGCTAACCTTGACAAGCTTAGGGTTGAGATGTAGTTCCTTGTTGATTGATGATAATATTTGATTAGCTAAAGCAGCACCAGGTGCGTCCTGGTTATCAAGAAGGCTATAAATGATCTAATCTCTCTTGTATCTGTAACCGAGCCAAGGAAATCCATCATAGCATCTATATCAATTAGTTTTTTCAGATTGCCTAATGAGTTTAAACATTTCTGTATTTTTAACAGTGAAGTGCATCATTCTTCCTTCTAAGCGTATAGAGCTTTTTTCTTACCCACAAGATAAATGCTGGAATTGAAATACAAATGTTTTTCATTTGTCTTTGTAGCTTCTCTTCTTTCTAACTTGTGAGGGTGGATTTTCCAGTCTTCTAGGCAATACCTACAGCAACTGTAAAATTATTAAAAATGTTCAGTTAGTTGAGCCAGTATATCAACTTTCTAGTTCCTGACAGTTTGTCCTTCAGCTAATGATCCAAGTATTTCTTTTGGCTTATATTGAGCTAGGTGGCTTTAGGTCTTTATTTGTTCGGTTAATTATTGTAAATGTTTCAAAGTGCCTCTGTGGGGTATATAGCATGTCCTCTTGTGTGATGCCAATTCCTATCCAATGGGTAGGTTCATAAAAGAGCAGCCTACGCTGGGCTTCGAGGGAAGAAGAAATCTACGGGACATTGTTTGATTGCTTCTATAACTCCTTTTCATTCTGTTATCCTGAAAACCCGTGGCAGATTGTCATCGAACTTCTTTTATGGAAGTTCAAGCAAGACATTGTGTGCTTATCATCAAAACTCCACTCTACTATCCTCCTCCTTGGTTCAGGTGCGCACATATATTCAAGTCTAATTTTCTCTCTTTACAAAGTTAATAAGCTCCATATTATTTTTTTACTTAAAAGAATAATAAAAAATGCTCCCTAATATTTATAAGCCTTTGTATTTAAACAGTGTTTCTCCCATGATGAAATGGACTGATAACCATTACAGAACTTTGGCCCGTCTCATCTCAAAGAAGACGTGGCTCTACACAGAAATGCTTGCTGCCGAAACAATTTTCTTACCAGTTTGGCAATTTGGTAAAGTTCTGCTGCATGGAATAAGATTCTAGTGCTTTTCTACCCAACTATAAAGTACCTTTTTGTTTCTTACTGATAAGTAGAGCTTAGCAAAAAGAAGAGAATCATGCAAGTTAATCCTTTGTTCTTATTCTAGACAAAAAGAAATGAACATTTACTGGGCTATATAGTATGTAAAGGCTCACAATTACAGAAGATTCAAACTCGCCTATGATAAATTAAATGAACTGTACCGGTTAATTTTTTCACTGAATGTGCGTAAATCAAAATATCCTATGATTTTATTTTTCCCATTTGTTTCAAGTCATGCGATGGCAAGTGTTACTTTCTTTAATGTTGATCCTCTTGCTGCCAGCCCCAATTTTCATGATAAAAGGAAATAGTGGATGTATGTCTCTGTGGTTATATGCCTACTTTCTACATGATCTAAACTGACCTTCTACAAAGAGAAGCTTACAGTTAACACTTCTATAGATGGCACCTGACACTTGAATTTGATATTCTAAATCGATGAATCATACTGTTTTTATATCAATTACTATAGACTCTTTGGGTTGTCTTTCAAGGGTCGAGTTAACCAAATTGGTTGGTTATTTTCATTTTCCTAAACTAAGACCCTTGTCCCAGTTAGATGGTTTCCTAGAAAAGGAATATTTATTCCGCTGGTGTAAAATACTTGGCAAAGAAGGGGACCTAGATGATGTATTATTGTAACCTGGGTAGATCTACAAAAGGATCTGCACCCAATGGTGTGACCTAGTGGTCAAAGAAGCGGTTGAGAACCCTGAGGTATCATATTCAAAACTTAGTGAAGACAAGAAAAATTAGGTGATCCTTCCCATCTGTTCTAGCCTTGGTGGATAGAGTTACCTGTTGCTGGTGAGAGGTGGCAGGTATCCCGTTGAATTAGTCGAGGTCCGCGAAAGCTGGTACGAACACCACGGTCACCAAAAAATAAGAAGAAAAAAAATTCTCCAAAAGGAACTTTCTTGTACTGACATGTTATTGTGCTTGCAACTTGGACCTTTAAGAGAAGCTTGTCACTGACTAATGCTTGTGTGGTTCTATTGTGCAGTGAGTCTGATATTTATGTGATTTTTCTAATATACCGGGATAGATTCTAGGCATATAGCCTTGAGCAACATCCTAAAGTGCTTCAAATTAGGGAAAATAATTTTTTTTTTGATAAGATAAGTGGTATTAATAACAGCATCAGGAAGATGCAAAATTTACCAGATATGGCATTTGAGCTTACAAAAAAATCTCTGGCTAACTATACAAACTATCTAAGCCAGAGCTAATGAGTTAGTAAAATCCTGAAGTTGTTCTGCATTAACAGCAGGATACAAGTTGGTCCAACTAAACAAATTTTCAGTGCACCTAGTCTTCAAACTGCCTAAAGCAGTTGACTCTTCATCAAAACATCTCTTGTTCCTCTCTAACCAAATACACCAAAAAATACAAGCAGATATCATAATCCAGATCTTATTGATGGCTTTGTCAACTTTCCATAGACTCCAACTCTCATATGCATCCTTAACAGTGAGGGGTCTATCCAGGTAAAAAAAACCTACCTTAGGTGGTAGCTTGGTCCTCCAAATGAGTTTCCAGGGCCAGTTAGCTATCACGGGGTTTCTAGAGCACAACTGTTGATACCCTTCCTTTACTGTATAAACTCCTTTCTGGTGTCCCCATTTGAGCTTATCAGCTGCCTGGAGATTAATGTGACAATGTTGTAGTCTAGCAAAAAGGTCTACCAGATCATTCACTTCCCAATCATGCATATTCCTTCTAAATCTCAGATCCCAATTGATCCCTTCTCTATTAGCAGCAATAACAGAATTGGGATCTTGAGCAATTCTAAACAGATCTGGGAAATCCTCCTGAAGAGTGGTATTTCCAAGCCATTTTGTCTGTCCAAAATTTTAGGAGTAAACCATTGCCCAATTCAAAGTAAGCGTTCTGATCAAATGTATCCCACAACATCCTAATACTCTTCCACAATCCCACTCCGTAAGGAAGTGTAGTAATATTTAAGCATCATTGAAAATAATTTGTAGATCTTGGCCAAATCGACACAACTAATTTTAAGTTCATTCTGCTTTTCCTATCTAAAATATACATTTCTAGCTTTTATTCAGACCCAAAACTGATACTTTTTCTCTATTATATAACAGTTGTGGATGTCCTAGCCCCAGAGTAGCTTGACATGGGTGTTTTGGTGTGTGCCTCATGCTTGATCCAAAGGTTCATATTTGTTTGCTTGATAAATTAAATAAATTATTTATCTGTATACTTGCTCTGATATATGCACAACTTCTACAAGGAAAGTTTGTTGCTGAGGCAATGTGCGTAATCGCTGCAAATATAAATGTTCCCATGAGTGTCAAATGCAGAATTGGACTTGATGATCATGATTCATACTATGAACTATGTAAGCTATTCAAACTTTCCCTTCCTCACTGGAAATGAGCATCAAAATTCAATTCTTCAATGATCAATCTCTTGATTTTTACTTGTTCCTTTCTTTTATCCTGTAAGTTACAGCTCCATTTTTATGTCCTGGCCTTGCTTCAAGAAAATCAACAAAAAATGGAGCTCTAGTTTCTTTATAATATATTTCCAAGCAGGACTTTGCTGACATTGTTACTGCTTGGACTTTGAAGTAGATCTTAGACAGCTGACAATAACTCGTAACTATGAAATAGAAACAAATTCATGACCACTTAACTCAGAGCAGAAGCCATATCCCAAAAAACCCAAAAATTGGTGGGAACTTGAAAATATTTAAAAATCAGATTTTCTAAATCTGATCAAATTTTATGGTCAAAATAAATTTTGAAAATCTACTCACAATGACCATATGTATTTTTCTGAAAGTTTATCTTCTCTTATTAAATGTTTTTCCTTTTTTGGATTTTTGACCTTTTTACACTACTATACAAACAATCATGGATTCTATCAACATTTTGAAAACTTCAATGGGCCAAATGTAAATCTTGCCTCACCTTATAAACAAACTTGTGTAACCCCAAACACCCACACAAACCACAATCAAAAGTCACGCCCCCTCCACTTCCTCTCTTTCTCTCTCTTTTCCCCCAAAGGGCTTTTCCCAATTTGAACTCTTCAAAAGTTGCTCATACACCAAAATCTTTATCTCGTGTATGGCGTTTCACACAGCTTGCCCATTTACCTGGTACTACATTCTTTTATTTTTGTATTATTTGTTTATAATTTTGTTTATTTTCTCTCTTTCTCTTTTTATTATCTACTCTCTCTTATCTAGGCCAAGGATGCCAAATGGGTTTCATTGTTCTATGGTTTCAAGTTGTTTACTGGGGTTATTCTTATAAACCATCCAGCGTTTTTGGGTGTGGGGTTTGGCTATTTTTTGGTAGCTGGAGGATCTGCTATCTCTCTCTCTCTCTCTCTTTATGGATGGATGCGAAATCGGTTTCTTGGTTTTGTGTTTTGTTGTTTGCTTTGGAATTTCTGACCCAGTTGAGTGTTTTTGCGTTTGTTGGTGCAGTCGAAAGATCTGCTTCTGCCCAGAGGGGTTCCCAAAGGGTAAAAATGAGTTCTTGGATGTGACTAAATTTGAGGAGTTTCTCAAGGACCCATGGGGTCTTAAGGCCAAACAACCTGCTACATGTCAGGTTAAGGTGCCCAAGCTTCGCGTTGCGTCACCCCCACAGGTGCCTGTAGGTGATGGGGGTGGCAGCAGCGGCGGGGATGGTGAGGAGGCAGCTTCTATTGCTTCAGCTCAGACTAAGCGTGCTGCTTTGCAGAAGAAAGCTGCTGCTGCATCTAATGTGGCTGAGGATTTCGCTAGAGGATTTCAGTCTGGAGATGTGGAGGTTAGGAACTGCAGTTTTAAATTATTACACGAAAGTATTCAATTTTTTTATTTACAAATAAATATCTGCCCTCAGGGCTCCATGAAAGATGTCGGTGGAGAAGAGCAAGGTCTATCAAATGTCAAAGTGATGTGTAGGCTATGCTTTTCCTGTGAAAATGAAGGAGGTGAAAGAGCAAGGAAAATGATGTCATGCAATTGTTGTGGGAAGAAGTGTCACCTAAGCTGCCTGAAAACTTGGGGTCAACATAGAGGTACTCTTATGGGCCACAAGATTTGTCAGTTTTTAGTGTTATGCTTTTGCTAATATGCCCCTTCCTACAGATCTCTTCCATTGGAGTTCATGGACATGTCCCTCTTGCCGGCTTTGTGAGGTAAACATTTTGATTCTTTTCAATAAAATAATGAAACATAGTTGGTTTTGCTTTTTAATAACTTCCCATAATGTGGCAATTCTACCATGAGTTGTTTTTTTTTCTTTTTTTGTGAATAAGGTCAAAGCTAATTCGACAAAACATTGACTTTTATTACCTAACAAAACGGAAAAAATAAATTTATATGAGATATCAACTGATGTCCTAATTTTCTTTGCTAGCCATATGCAACAACCTGAGGTTTTCATATTTACGCATTTTAGGTTCTAACCTGTTGCCTAGCCCTATGAGAGGTCACTCATGTCAGTTTTGACACACAAATCTTGGGTAAGGTACATTGATTGAAAATAAAAGATCCTGACTTGGGTCGGTGTCTTAACTATAGAAAGAGGTTTTTTCAACTTCTCTATGTGTCTGCATGGACAGTCAATTCAGAAACAAAGATATTGCTTTTTAGTCAATGCTTTTAAATGGATCCCTCCGTATGTGTATGGTGTATGACAGTCAATGGAGATGGCAAAACAGGTGGAATTTGACCCATGGCCCCACTTATATGCAAACCCATTAGTCACTAATCATACACTTGCCATATCAACTACCTTTTGTCCTGTAAGAAACAGGGAAGACTACTTTCCTCTGGATCAAGTGGACCCAACTCTAGTATCCACCATGTCAAAGCCAAATAAGCTGCAAGCAATAATAGCTTATAATGATAAACCCACGTTGAAACCTCAATCCCTGGTTGTACGAAGCTATTTAATGAACGCAAGTGTTTTCTTGGCTTGGTAACAGAGTTACCTGGTAAGTGTGCTGGTGGAAGGTACCTAGTGAAATAGTTGAAGTGCTCACAAGTTGGTTAAGGCGCCACAGTTATTTAAAAAGAAGTTATTTAATGTTAAATAAGTCACTATAGTTCCATCACTTCCATGTTTTTCTTTTTATGGTGTAAAGTTTGTCATGTTCAGTTTGCAATGTGTTACTGAATCAGATTACATTTTCTTCTTGGTTTTTGTTTCCCTCTCTGTTTTTTTTTTATAACCGAGAAATCCATATGTGACCCGTCCTTTGGACCAATCACAACCTTCTAAACTCGGTGGATAATGAACCCGCCCCTCTACCCTTCTCCACCTAAATACTGGGCTTCGCTTTGCATGGTATGGGGCTTGAACCTGCGACCTAAGCCACAAATCCTCCACCTTTTGCCACTCGAGCTAGGCCTTCAGGGCATTTTCCTCTCTCTCTGTTTCTCCAGCTTGCTTTTTCAGTCATTTGTGCTTTTGTCCTAGTGTTCTTTGGTGACTTCAATTTTATTTTTTTGTTTGAGGAAGACTTTGATTATAGTTTTTGTTTCACATTAAACCTTCACATTGTTTGGAATGAGATAGTTGAATCCGTCTAACCAATGGTTAACCAAGCCAAATCAAACAAAGGTTTATAACCAACTAACTGTTAACCTTTATCCCTTCCTTTGTTACTCCCTCCGTGGCACCACGAGACTTGCTTCTAGGTTTTACTGTGGAGGTTTCTTGGGGGCATAGAAAAATAGCCTTGTAGGTTGGAATATTGGTAGGATTTGAGCAGTACGTTAAAAATGAAAATTGCAAATAAGCAATAAGGTCTTCAAAGCTTTAATCAAAAGCAATAAGCAGCGTTCGATTCATCAGACATATGAAATCGCCTAAATATATGAATTTTGTACTTATAAGATCAAGTAGCGATTAACATTATTATTTTTAGTACCTGTTATACAATAATGACAATTTGTAGATTCTATACCTAAAATGAAATAGAATGAAAATAAGTTTAAACAAGGTCACAGAATAATGATGGTCAATAGCAACATTGGTTTTAGATTCTCAATAAATTGACTATAAAAGTAATTAGTTTGCAGCATTTAATTTCATATTAAATTGTTTTAGTAACTATACATAGAGTTGAAAGAGAAGCAAAAAGAAGCTCAAACTCAGCAGTAGTTTAAGATGGGGACTTGCATACAAAGAAAGTGTCATCTTTGAAGAAGAAAAAGAAAAAGAAATTTTAAGGAAACACAGAATCCTAGCCTTACTACGTAGAAAAGTCAATCCATTGATTATTTCGATGTTTGGAAGTGGGGTTTGGAAATAATGGAATGTTCTCTGTGAAGTCTTTTTATGAGAAACTATTGGTTATGGAGGAGATGACTTTTCCATGTTATGCAATATGGATCTCAAGGGTGCCCAGGAAGGTGTGCGTTGTCTTTCATTAGTTGGTGTTACATGTGTAAGGAGGCAGGTGAGGATGTGGATCATCTTTTCTTACATTGCAAGCTAACCATGAGGCTATGGTGGGATATGTTGGGTGGTTGAGCACTCCGTGAGCATTGCCAAAAACTGTGAAAGATTTGATGTTCAGTTGGAAGAGCACAGAAGGAAAAGAAGACGAAGGGCTTAGAACGTGGTTCCACTTGCTTTAATGTGGGTAGTCTTGAGAGAGAGAGAGAGAGATGAGAGATCTTTTGAAGGTGTAGAGTCGAGTTTCTCTCCATTAAGGAGTAGTCTCAGTTCCCTTATTTTCTTTTGGTGTGAACAGAAAGTCCCTTGTTTTGACTCCCTCCGTCCCATTTTTTTATGAATTAGTTTGACTCGACATAGAGTTAAAGAAAGAAAGGAAGACTTTTAAAATTTGTGGTCTAAAATAAGTGATAGATATTTGTGTCGCTGTAAATCATTTCATTAAGGGTAAAATGAGCATTTTAATGTGAAATTGTTACTTGATGTAGAAATGTGTCATTCTTTTTGGGTCCGATTTAAAAGGAAAGTAAATTATATAAGCTGGGACGGAGGGAGTAAATGAGAGGGTGGAGTTTGTAAAGAATCATATCCTTTTGTAGAATATCTTTTGATATATTCCTTGTATACGGATAACTTAGCCAGGTTTATGAATGAAAATACATTTACTTGATTAAAAAAATACAGAAAAACAATAGCAAAAGTAGAAGCGTTAAAAACTTGAAATAAAAAGAAAAATTAATTGTAGAGAGGAGTACTAGTACCCATATATCCAAAAATAATAAAAACCTACCCTTTTTACTCCCTTTTCCCTATCTTTTCCGTATTTTGAAGTTTTCAAATACATTTTCCGTGCTTCGTTGAAAAATATTTCTGTCTCACCTTGTCTGTGCCAAGTTTTCCCAAAGCGTGCACATCACAGGTGCAGCAATAACCCCTAACTTGGCATCACTAGCTTGCATCAAAACTGGATTTGGGGATGTGAAAGGTTTTTGACATATTGAAGGAAGAAGTGGTAGAAGGTGCCGGAAGGATGGTGCTCATGGAATTGTTAATTTTATTGTCTGAGTGACTGCAAGGACTGGATTGGCTTATATCACACAAATTGAAGGTGTTGCTGCATGTGTTGCATGGGCAGGAAATGAGTTTATTGGTTGGGTATAGTGGTATTTTATCAGGATGTGGGAAATTTTTGTGATGGTTTGGAGGGAAAGGGTGGTAGAGGCTGGAAGATGACAATATCAGTAAATAAGGACTAGATTTGCTCTCACAAAGACTGGAGTTTATGTGCTGATGAGATATACACAAGGATGAATGGAGTTTAACCTATTGTCTTTCTTTTCTATTTGAGTGGCTCATGGTCAGGGATGTCACTGATAATGGCTTTTTATATGCTCCTGTTAATTGCTAGGTAGGCTGCTAATCTATTTGAGGCAGCATCACATGAAGCGCAGTTTCTACTCAAATATTGATTATCAAACATATTAGTTTGAAAAGATCTCTTCAAGTATGAAATATCTCTAAAAAAACTATTGGAAGTGTCCCTATCGAGTAGGATTATACATGAAACTATTTTGGCCGCTTTTTGTTTGTTTTAATCTTTTGTATAAAGCAACTCTTCTGTTTGATAATTGGACATGCATTCTGCATCATACACTAGTGATTAATGCATTTTTAGCTATTTGATGTCTATGTTATTGTTCAACTCATGTTCTTATGCTTACTATATTGTTCATATATACTTACTGTATGTATGCTCCTTTTTTGGTGTAGGGCTGTCAAACAACTGGAGATCCAAACAAGTTCATGTATTGCAAAAGGTGCGATGCAGCTTATCACTGTCACTGTATGCAGCCTCCACACAAGGTGGATTATCGTGTCTTACTCTTCCAGTTCTGTATAATGATAAAAGTCGATTGTACTTAGTTGTTTTTGGGATGTGCAGAACGTTAGCAGTGGGCCTTATTTGTGCCCCAAACACACAAAGTGTCACAGCTGTTGTTCTAGTATTCCAGGAAACGGACTGAGCGTGAGGTATGTAGTATGGGGCCATGTGCAGCTAGTGGACATTCTCTTGGATTCACGTTTTGCTGGAAATGTTAATTGAACAGTCTAATTA